TGTATGTGTTTATATATATATTTATGTATACATGTATGTGTTTATATATATTTATATATATATATATTTAATTCTTCTCAAATCTCTGAATGGCACTGATGCTTAAGGAAGAGAGGCACTATGTTTTATGCTGTGGCTCACATATCACCGGGAATCTTTGTCCCCATTTGAGAAGCCTGGAGATTAACTCTTAATTACCACAAGACACAATCGCAAACTGAGGGCAAGACCCTGCAGGTATAGAACCCAGAACGTAGCCTTGGAAACTTGGAGTTGCAGGGTCAGATGTGTGTGTGTGTCTGAGTGTGTGTGTGTAGGCTCAGATGTGTGTGTGGGTGGTGTGGGTGGGTGTGTGTGGGTGTGTATGGGTAAAGTAAGGACAGGACAAGGATAAAAAGGGGTAGAAGTGTCAGAATGAAGGGAGACAGAAGTCACCAAAGACAGATGTTTTCATTTAACACTTCTTGATTCAGAGCTAGCCTGCCTTAAGTGCTGCCAGGCTGGGAGAGGGTTTGTGGGAATGGGCCAGTGCCCACTGCATCTCTTGGGATGACTGAGAAACTGAAGCAGCAGTTGTATAGAATTAGTTTAGCTGTGGGCAGCTGAGGATTCAAGAGTCAGTTCTGGGTGTATTTCTGCTACCCAGGGACTTTCTACAGTTGGAAAATTTACACTCACAGCAATGGCTGCCCCATTCAAGAACATCCAAGCTGACTAGTAACAAGCTGCAGCTCAGAGCTCTTTGCTGTTGCCTGGTGAGTAGCAAAAGGGCTCTTCCTCCCACTTTGGAGCAAGGCACCTCAACAAGTTCACATTCTGACTCCTCGTGGTAATTTCCGTCAGAACAGTACTTCACTCAGGATTAAAACTAGTCCAAGAAACTTGACATGGCCCATGAACAACCTTGGAGAATGGGGGTAGGAATAGGTGTCTATTCTTGATTTAAGCCAGTGTCCAGAGGCAGAGGAATAAGCTGGTTTTAGTAGGGGAGAATTTAGAAGTATGGGCAGTTACCTCTACATTGGATTCTCTAGAAGCAGAGCCTGAGACAGGAAATCATGTGCAAGTGAAGGTAATGCTCTTAGGAGAAACCAGTAATCAGGATGTCCAAGAAAGGATCTGGTTTCAGGTGAAGTTTTAGCCTGATCCCACAGGGAGCTCTGGGATGTCAGCTGTTGGCTATGAGTTGTCCCAAGGCTGTTGTTGTTAGCTGCTAACAAGTCGATTCTGACTCATGGTGACCCCGTGTGTGCAGAGTAGAACTGCTCCATAGGGTTTTCAAGGCTGTGACCTTTCAGGAGCAGATCGCCAGGCCTGTCTCCCGAGGTGCCTGTGGGTAGGTTTGACCCACCAACCTTTCAGCTGGTATTGCTTAACCATTTGCACCACCCAAGGACCAGGCAGGGGAAGGTATTTTCCAGGCAACCCTAGATGAGGAGCATCCAGTGGCCCAAGAGTAATAATCTAGAGAAGGTTGCACCACAGCAACTGGGAATTGGGTACCCTGAAATCAGAAATCTGGAGAGGACGCCAAAAAGGCCACCACAAATGACTGCTGCAACAGTGCCCTTCAGTGGTCTAGAACTGAAGCATACCAGGCTGACTCCCTTTCTTAGCTTCTAATTCCCTGACCCCAAAGAGCCAAATGTGGGTGCGGTAGCAATTCTGACCTTCTCCCTACCATACCACTCTGCTACATAAAAGGAAAGGGTTGGAGAATGGTCTTTGAAAAACTTTGATGCTTTCCCATACAAGGAGTATATAGACTATACAAAAATTTAATGGCATATAACACCTGTTTTGTCAAATTTATCCCATGAATAAAATGTGTCCTCCTTTTTTCGTTCGGGCTCAACAAGTGAACTCAGTAGTTTCAGGACACATTCACTTTATTCATATTTAATGTAAAAATAGAAAAAAAAAGTTATTCAGCAAAGATTTTAAGAATAAGGCATGGTAGACATATGATTACATAATTCTATGTAATGTACCTTTAAGTAATACATTGCAAAATATATATGTGCCCAAAATAATGTTTTAGGAATGGGTATGGTTTCCTACTTGGGACTTTGAAGTACCACTGAAAATGTATACATTTAATAAGAAAATGATGAAATTATTGTTTGAAATTAGGCATTTCAAAGCCTGATGATTCACTGGTTTGCTATAAACATGGATTAAAAGAACCCCAAAATCACTGGATAACAGAAAACTGCCACCTCTTCTCATTAGGTATTTCAACTATTTATTCTACTTTGGTGGTTCTGAATTCTCTAAGGCAAGCATCTCATTTTCTAATACTTCCCTTTCCTTTTTCTCTGTTATACAAGCCAGAGGGATATTCAGCTCTCTTTGTGGGGGTAGTACTTAGACCTCTCTTGATATTCCCAAATCTTTAAGAAAAATCACAGACTTCCACATGAGAGAGCGGATGGAAAGCATCTGCATTTGTCAGTGGCTCTCAATACTGGCTGCACACTGGAAACACCTGAAGAGCTTTAAAAGCCCTAATGCCTGGGCCCACCTCCCCAGAGATTCTGATGTAATTGTTCTGAAGTGAGGCCTGAACATCAGAATTTTTAAAAGCTTCCCAAGGGATTCTAATATGTAGCCGTAGTTAGAGAACTACTATTTTTATATGGAGAGTTAGTGCAAGTGGGAATATGGGTGGTAGTGGGTGTGAAGTTGCAATGTTTAATATATTATCTGGGTTTCAAACGGTGGTATGTAATAAATATTTAACAACTGGCCCCTTGGTGTTTTCCAATTTCAATGGTGTAGTTTCAAGCTACCAAGGTGGTGTCACTGAATGCAGTTATGAAGAGATGCTAACAAGGGCTTCTCCTAAGGTGTATGAGCTTTCAAAGAAGCTTTTAAAGCTAGCTCCTGTTTTATGCATTTACATTGGCTCTAGCCAAACCATCTTCAGTGCATCTTTGGTGCATCTGTGTCTCACCTTAATAAAATCTAATAGTGG